CTTCATTGGGGCTGAGGAAGTGAGGAGGCTGTAGAATGACTTGGACAGGCTAGGAGACTGTGCAAAGAAGTTGCAGATGCAACATAATGAGGGGAAGTATGAAATTATGCACATTGGAAGGAGGAATAAAGGTGTTAATGGGGATAAGCTTTGGAAATTTGAACTACAGAGGGACTTGGAAGTCCTAGTTCAGGATTTCCTTAAGGTTAATCTGCAGGTTTACTTGGCAGTTAGGAAGGCAAATGAAATGTTAGCATTCATTTCAAAAGGGCTTGAATACAAGAGCAAGGATGCACTGCTGAGGATGTTCAAGCCTCTGGTCAGACTGCATTTGGAATATTGTGAGTAGTTTTGGGCCCCGTATCTAAGGAAGCATGTGCTAACCTTGGAGTGGGTCCATAGGAGGTTCACAAGAATAGTTCCAGGCATGGAGGAGCAGTTGAGGACTCTGGGTCTGTATTCGAGGGTGTCTCATTGAAACTCACAGAATGCTGACAGACTTGGATAGAGTGGATGTGGAGAAGATGTTTCCATTTGTAGGAGAGAAGACCTGGGGGCAGAGCCTCAGAATGAAGGGATGACTCTTTAGAACTGAGATGAGGAGGACTTTCTTCAACCAGAGGGTAGTGACTCTGTGGAACTCATTGCCGCAGAAGCCTATGGAGGACAAGTTATTGAGTGTATTTAAGCCAGAGATAGACAGGTCCTTGTTTGGCAAGGGCATAAAGGATTACAAGGAGAATGGGATTGAGAAACTCGTCAGCTATGATCAAATGGTAGGGCAGACTCAATGGGCCGAATGGCCCAATTCTGCTTCTACGTGTTATGGTCTTATTTTAAAATTAGACATTAAGTCATACATATGGCAAACATTAAGACAGATGACTAGGTCAATGATACCTGAATGTAGGAGAGAGATGGAGAGGTTTGGAGGGGGAATTCCAAAGCTTAGGGTCCAAGCAGCTGAAGACATGGCCACCAGTGTCGGAACAAGAAGAAATGGGGATGCACAACAGGCCAGAGGTGGAGGATAACAGATCTTGGAATATTGATGGGCTGTAGACGGAGGCTTGGAGGAGGTTGCAGGGGTTGGGGGGGATGGTAGAGAAGAAGCCTTGAAGAGATTTGACAAGATGGAGGAGATTTTAACAGAAATGTATTTTAGGCGTTGCTGGGCCAGAAGCCAATGTGGTCAGCCAGCATGGGATAGGTGACTAGAACTAAAGTCTGAGAAAATAAGGACATAATTGGAGAAGCAGTATGTACCATCTAAAAGATCCTTAGACAGCACCTTCCAAACTCATGATTACTATCATCTAGATGGACAAGGGGTGCAGATACATGGGAACACCACCCCCTGAAAATTCTCCGTCACTGACCATCCTGACTTGGAAATATAATCGCTGTTCTTTCACTGTTGCTGGGTCAAAATCCTGGAATTCACTCCCTAATGGCATTGTGGGTCAACCCAGAGAACATGGATTGCAGCCGTTTAAGGAGGCAGGTCAACAGCATCTTCTGAAGGGGCAACTAGGGACTGGCAATAAATGCTGGACCAGCCAACGACGCCCACATCCCATAAATGAATAAAAAGAGTGCAGGGACCTGGGAATGTCGGAAGGCTCTGGGAGGTGTATTGTGATTGAAACTGGAACAATGGCCTTTTTCGTCACCCAAAAGCAGAAGCACTGAGGCCAACAATTGCAGTGTAAATGGTGCTAAGAAGTGCTTGCGGCAGTACAATCTGGAACCTTCGGTATCACACAGCTTGGCATGGTGTCATTTGATTCAGGTTCACTGTCATTCATACGGAAATGCTGATGTTTCAGAATATCCAGGGAGATGACAATGGATGACCTGGGAACTACTGGTCTAACACTAGCTTAGAATGCCAGACTCAATTATGAAGTATCTGCCCAGTTACTGGACCACCAGGCAGCACTTGGGGCTCGAGAATGGGGTGGTGGGGAGGCTACAGAAAGAAGGGGAAATTAGCCAAAGTTACTGCCCAAGGTTACTCTCTTTAGGAGGTAGTGGATGAGGACAGGATTCGAATTCCAAGTGATGTCCTCATGACCAAATGGTCTGTAAAGATTATTCTGTGCCAGACCAACGCTTTGAGACTGGACATTTCGGCAAGATTACTGGAGGCTCACTGACTCCCACAATGTAGCACAAGGATAATTTTGACTTTACAACTGTGGTGCTATTTTGCTGAAGAGCACTGTCTGGCGCCTGGTCAATTATCAATAATTAATTTCTATGGGAAAAAAACATAGTACCATCATTACAGATCTCTCGCAACATAGTGTTCCAGCCTAGAAGTACAAATCCTGCCAACAACAACTTGCACAGGAACTGGGAGGTATCTGTCCTTATACAGTTGTACAGTGAATATTCACCATAATCTTCCTTCTCACACAATGTTGGAGCAGAGCGCACTTGCACCTCTGACAGCTTGGGCTTTAAAACCACAGAACACACAAAACAAATGAACCCGGCAAGATAATCTCCTCACTTACATTTCAGGGAATGATAAAGAATTGGTCAACCACAGTTAACGTGCGTAGTTAGATATCACAGAGCCAAAGTCTCCAGATTAGCCACCTAGCAAGTATCGATAAGCAAAAGAAATAATAACATTCTCATGGACGGACTCTGCTTCACAAACGTGCACCCAGACCCCAGCCAGACCACGTCGTACACTCCGTTTTTCACCACCCACCACTGACAGCCTTATCTTTAGATAGTGAGGCCCAAACTCTGCAATTCCCTTCATAAACCTCCCTGCGCCCACCTTTATGACAACACACCTTTGACCAAGCTTCAGTCCCAATATCTCCTTATGGAGCCCAGTATCAGAGTTTGTTTAACAATGTTCCCTGAGGCACCTCGGGACATTATAGGTGCTAGATGAATGCAAGTTGTTGCTGTTGCAATGGTGAAACCAAACCATGCTCATGCTTCTCAAACAATGTGTGCGTGAGAGAGAGAGAGAGCAAGCGAGCGAGCAAGGGCTGATCATTTTCACCCTTCTCTCCTGTTAGTGCCAACTCAACCTTGACTGATGATCTTTACATAGCTCAAAGCAACTGTTCTTCTGGTTGTCTTGTTGGACACTAGATTTCAACGCAGAGATGTGTCACATTAAGCATGGAGGTGTGTCACAGCCAAGTGCAATGTTGACCTGACATAATGCCAGAGGCCTGTTTCACACCCTCCAAAGGTGTCAGTTGAGACTAGAAGGTGGCACCTTGGTTGAATTGATATTCCACCAATTTTGCCCAGGGGGCAGCACTTATCCAACTGGAGGACAGACAGTGAGAAATCGAGCCCAGGACCTTTGTTCTCAGGAATCAGTGCCAGCCCACCTTTTACCAACTGAACCACTACAGGTCAACTAATTGTATTTACAGAGAAATTTTCAATTCACTCCACACCCCCTCCAAAAAACAATACTCGCTATAAATGTTACCAGCAAATTCAGAACCAAGCATCATATGCCATCTCATGCATACTGATTTCAGCCCATATAGTCACTGAGAAATGAAATGCTGAAAGGTCTGGACCCTTCCGAAACGTCAGCTTTCCTGCTCCTCTGATGCTGCTTGGCCTGCTGTGTTCATCCAGCTCTACACCTTGTTATCTCAGATTCTCCAGCATTGGCAGTTCCTACTACCTTGAAATGAAATGCTAATATCTTTTAGGGAAGGAAATCTGCCATCCATAATTGGTCTGGCCGACATGCGACTCCAAATCCATACCAATATGAGTGACAGTTAACTAGCCAACCATGTCCTCATCACATGAACAAATAAAGAAATAAAAGAAGTGCAATTCTTTCAACTGGTTTCACTGCTATATCCAAAATTGCAAGAACCAAAGGGATCCATTTATGTCAACCTTGTCTGTCTATAGTCTTGGTGCATCTGGGCAGATTTGGTCCCTCCCCTAACTAGCTGGCAAGTTAAAGGAGCATATGAGAGTTAGTCATACTGCAAAATAAGTGAACTGTCTGACTTGACCTGATGAAGGGTCTAGGCCCGAAACGTCAGCCTCTCTGCTCCTATGATGCTGCTTGGCCTGCTGTGTTCATCCAGCCCTGCACCTTGTTGTCTCGGATTCTCCAGCATCTGCAGTTCCTACTATCTCTGATTCGATTTTAACCCCACTCTCCTATTGATGGTTTTAGTGAAAGGGTTGTGAGTACTAACACAAAATCCTGTACTGTACGCAAGTGGCCATTCGTCAGGAAGAAACTCCTCCTTGAATTTCACATCAAAAAATCTTTTAGTGACAACTTGACAAGATTAAGTCAACAAAAGTAGCCAACCACTTTGCTGCCATTTCTGTCATCGCACTTAGTCAAAGGGGCATAAAACATATTCTGTCTTACTTGGCAAATCAAGAAAAAAAAGGTCAAGGAAAACAATAGGGGGAGGGGGAAACATACTACAGCAGCATATTCCACACCCCACTCCCAACCAAAAGAGCTTGACAAAGCCTTCCCAAACCACAACATTTCCAAGACTTGATAATTCCAGCCTCCAAACCAAAAAAAGACCTCAAGTGGGAAAGCCATGTACAAAACGATGCGGTTTTGAAGCAAGGTTATTGATCCAAGACACGGACTCCACTTCTCTCTCCACTGATACTGCCCAACCTGTTGTGTACTTCCAAAACTTCTGTTTCTATTACAAATCAACAATCTCAAAAAAGGTCCAGGTGTGATTCCAGGTGGCATCAGCACAGGCTTAGCGCAATACCATTCATTATTCCATAACATACACAGATAATAAACTCAGCATTATCAAAAATTCCCTTGAATATTTTCCAGAAGGATAAATCATCTTGAAGAATTTTAAAGAGATAGTAATATCCATCATGACTACTGTGACATCTATCATTCCTGACAAAACGAAGCCTCTGAACTCTCATTAATTAAATCAGTCTCATTTCCTTCATGTTTACACACTCAATACATAATTCAAAAGACTTACCTGAGAAATCTCCAGGTGCGATATTTGGGGAGTTGGTGGCTTCTGTTTCAGTGCAGGATGCCGTGCGTTCTGGTGAATGGTAAAAGATGATATTAAGGATGCAGGAACTGTAAACACAGATGTATCTAACCACAGTACAGGGTGAGTCTCCACATTGCACCTCCCAACCCATTGTATACAACCACTCTGTGACAATGGAAAACAGCCAAATCATACACATTACCCTATTCCTCAAGCATGTTATGATTACACAGGGAAGCTAGGTGTTACATTGGACATGTGCTTTACAATGCTGTAGGGCAAGAACATCACACACCACACAAAGTTTATAACATTTCAGAGCGAAGTTAACGGGTGTTCAGAATAGAAACAAAATCTACAAAACTTCCATTCTCCAAACCTTGCACCAAAGGTCCAGCTCTCAACAAGCAAATTTTTATAATCTTCCTCAATCCTATCTCATAAGCACTGGCACAAAACATCATGGTAAGTGTCTTTATACTCTTTGCACTGCTCTCCTCCTTTATTCAGAAGTTTGTTTTTTTCCATAAATGCCACATAAAAACTGTGTGATTATTAGGATTTAAATAGTGGAAGAGTTTAACCCAGGACAAACTGAAGCTTGCCTCAGGACTGATCCTTTGCAACCCCAGCACTATACACTCCCAACCACAGCCTGACTCACCGAAGCTCTGCAGTGCTTGGCAGGCAAACACACAAAATAGCAGCAAAATTCACAAGCTTTCCTGAAAAACTACAGGTTTACACTCGGCGGGGTAAATACAAAACTGAACTGGATAATGTGCAGTTACTGTACTCAAACAATTAATAATTCTTCCAAGCTGGATTAGTACCGTCTTAACAAAACTCTTGTTTTTAAAACACATAAAAAGTTTAAAAAAAAAGCTTTGGTGACTTTTTTTCCTCCTTTCCCCCACATTGTCCCTCTTGAAGCCACTGGTGGGGTACAGTCCCAGAGTTTGCAGGTTGCCTGTGGTAATATGGGATGATAAATTCCTAAATCACATTAAAATATTTTAATCATGTTTAATCAGAGCATGGACTGTCTACCTCTCGCACACAAAAACGACAAGCTTTTGCTGGAGTCCTGGCATACTGCTACTGCGGCAGCACATGTTTATTATAATACTCTGGTCTAGCCACTATTCCCCCAAAACTAATACCAAGTTTTTAAAAACAGTTGTAATTTTAGACATATTTAAGAACTTACCCAGTGGCTTTTCCTCATCACTTGTAGAGAATCTGGAGTAAGGAGGAGGTGGAGAGTCTGAAAATGACGACATGGGAGTTAAAAACAGAAAGAAAAAGTGGAGAAGGAGAGAGAGAGAAAAAAACCTTTCTCTGTCTTGGGAAAGGTTTAAGTGTAGGGAGAGTGAGTTTGCAGTAATTGCCTAGATGTTCAATCGTCAGATGAGCGAGGGAGCCAGGCTGGCGCCAGACATATGCAAACTGCATATTATTGCCACTCCTTTACCTAAATAGCTTTCGAACTTCTTAGGAAAAAAAAGGAGAAAAAAAAACACGAGTTGAAATCGATCTCATTTCAAAGGGATAATTCCAGACCTCAATCCCCTCCCACTAGAGGAGGAGACAGAGAGAAAAAAAACTTGAGATTAAAATCACATTCGCTCGAATCTGGTCCGGTCTGTAGAATTAAGAGAATTTTAAAATCGTTTCTTTTTTTAAAAAAATTCAACACGAGATGACCACAACTTCCTTAAAACAAAAGGGAAGCGTTTGTCTCTGTTACAAATGATAAAGGGAGGGTGAAATTGACTCGCTAATTCTCCAAAAGCGAAGGAAACATACAAGTAGTTTTTGTTACTGCTAGTAAAACGTTACAATTGGCTAGATTAAAGCCGTTTCCCGTCAAAAAATAGATTTCTTAGTGGGTTGGAGGTGAGCTAGGGAGGAAACTGCAACCGACAGCGGTCGTATCTTAAAGACTTTCTTCAACATTTTTTGCTCTCTCGTAAAAAAAAACACAAAGGACATATGCAGGTGAAAGCCAGAATCCGCATCAGTGACATTAATATAAACGTTATCACGTCACGCATCAGTGATCCTCAGCTATTTGCAAAATGCAACAAGACTTCAGACAAGGCTATGAGCTTGTTTTTTGGTCTTTAAAGCGATAGTGGTAGCCGCACCCCCCCCCCCCAACCTTTTTAAACAGCCCCCCCGAGTTTAAACAGCACTGATTATTTCAAAGTAAACAGATTGAATTCACAATTCTCCGCATCAAGTTACCCCCTCTCCTTTGTGTTATTAAATTCTCAATCAGGCCTGGAGGTTCCCCTTGTAATATAAGCGGCGCTTAAATTATTTATTAATGATGAATAGGAAGATGCTCTCCCCGTTCCCCGCAAAAGCGTCTGTCAAGTTCAGTGTCTCGCCGCCACACTATTAGAACCACCAAGTGACAGACTTAAAAGAGCTCAGTTGGCTAATTGCTATAATGTGGTGATGAATGATGCCAAGACTGCGGGTTCAAATGCCACACCGGGTACTCCGTGATGACCGCCTCCTTATCTCCCCCCCCCCCCCCCCCCCCACCATTTGTGTGGAGTGGTGCCCCCCTTCAAATACATGACAAGTTGTTTCTCTCTGTAATGGAGAAAGATAACTATGGCCCCTTGTGGCTAATAACCTCACTCAACTTAGCTGGTCAGCCTGAACTCAGATCTACGACCCACCTTTCATGCCCTTCCCACGATTTGCCAGAAACACTAGACTGTGAATTCTAAATCACTAACTGTAGAGATAACAATGGAACGATGATAAAATAAAATCTAAAGCTAACTCTCCCCTGCCCACAAAAAAGGACAAGTGAATAAATTGTAAACATTTAAAAAAAACATATTTAAACCCAACACTCTCTAGGGATTCAAGTTTCATCCAAGGAATTGGATGTATAAAGCAAAAGGTAACTACAGCAAATTTCTCCTTTTGATAGTTAACATATGAAATGGTTCAAAATCTCCAGTATTTTTCCCCTTAAACCGTTACCCACTCACTAAGTGCTATCCCCTACACACATTTATAGTTCGAACGCCTTGGTCTCTCGGTGGGTTTGACACTAGTCAGATAGACCATTTAGGGCGCCTATAACATTTACTTATTAAGACAAGCTGGCCACAATCTCATGCTTTCAGCCTGAACATTGCTTGCCCGGGAGGACGGGGGGGGGGTGGAATCACAAGGCACACATCAAATGCTATGCAAGTTACAAACTCCCACTTTATTTCAGCAATGACAATGTTGAGATTTTGCCCCGTCTGAAAGTAACTACCCTTTTCTCCTATCTCCCGCCCCAAATTAACCACGCACTAGGCCAAGAACTCCAAAGTTCACCTGTTCCAAAGCCCTGCCATTGTCTGAGCTCTGTTTACTACAACAACATTTTACTTTATGAATGACTGAAACAGGCATTCCGCTTACACATGGCTGAAATGTTACATCCACTCTATATGAATGATTGAAATGTACAACTCTCGTGAATGAAGCCAGCCTGGATCTCAAAAGTGACATCAATTGAAGTGTTGAAATCGAAATTATGTATGGTCTGCATTTTCTTAAAGACTGTATTATTAACACATTCCAAGCTCCGTTTACATATTGAAAAACTGGGTTTTATGGTGGTACCAACAAGTTATGGGATCTAATTTGAGATCATGTTTAAAAATAAAGATTTCACACGAGTTTTTTTTGGGGAGGTGAGGGTGGTTCTAAATGCATTTACTCATGTCACACATTGCACTACTGAATTGCTTTCAAAATGTGACATCTTAATGAAGGCAACCCACACGTGCCTCTTTGCATACTCTGGCGAGAACCAGCCGTGTATAAGTGATACCTTCCACGAGGAATAGGATTTTATACCCAGTTAGTTTCATAAAAACGCTAAAATGCAAGCCTCAGACGCGAATTGAGTCCCCATCTCCACCATCACTCCCATCATTACAAACCCCCCCTCTTTCCAAACTAAACAGCCTTAATTCGAAAAAGTCTCAATGCACCCCTCAAGACTTTTCTGTGTGAAGGCTGAGCACCTGTGAGATGAGAGAGAGAGAGAGAGACAGACAAGGGAGGGCTCACCTGGTCCACAGAGTCTGCTGAAATGGTAAGGGTTGCAGCAAACGGTGGAGCTGTCTGCGTTCCTGGAGAAGCCCTCGCAGGAGTACAGTCGCTTGAGTTCAAAGAGATGCTTGAGATCAGGCCAGCGGAAGAGTCTGCAGAGTAAGACCTGAGGGGCCAGTGTCTGCTTGCCAACCCTCAGCTCGTTCTTGGCCATAGGTACACAGGCGGTGTGTAACCCCCCGCTGCTCTGCACCGCCTGGCTCAGCACTTCCAGCGGCTTCTCCTTCAGCCTTTTCAGTAGCGAGTGAGTGACCGACTTCAGCTCGTTTAGCGATCCGGCCAGGTCACTCCAATCGTCCGCCTCCTGCCCATTTCCTCCCGTTACCCGGCTCTGCCAAAGTCGCCGTACAAGGCCCGACCGTTTAGACCTGAACATACGACGGTTATAGACGGAGTAGCCGGGGAAGGAGGGCAAGCTGTAACGTTGCAGCTTCACAATGCCAGTCTGTCTCTGCCTCTCCCCTCCCGTCCTGGGCTGGGAGCGAGGGGGGAATAGGGAGGGGGGTAAGGGAGGGGAAAGGGAAGGGAAGGGAAAGGGAGGGGGGATTTTTAAAAAGGGAGCAGATCACACGGCATCAAGCTGAGAGCAAAGCCATGCATTAGCACAGCCAGCTAGCTCCGGGAACAGATCACAGCTACACTGTAATCCAAGCTGCAACATTCGGCTGGGGAAAAGGAGACTGTGTGCAACAGGGCAAGGGGGGTGGGGGGAGGTGGTGGAAGAGAGAGAGATAGATACACCAACAGTAACCAATGCAGAGAGGGGGGAAAATAATGAAATGTTGCAAAAAAAATAAGCAACTTGGAAACCACGAGCCAGATCTTAGAGACAAAATAAATCAAAAAAAAAACGCGATTTTCCTCTTGTGGGGCCAGCAATATCTCCTCCAATTCCTCAACCTACACCTTGCTCTTCCTCAACAAGACAAAACGTTCCTCTTAAAAAGCTGCAGTCTTCACATTGAATGCAAGTGTCCTTTTCCCTCCTTTGCAATAGATCCAAGTGAGCTGCGTCTCTTCTGCGAATCACATTGCAAATTTCAGCAATGTACCATGCTCCTTTAGTACATCTGCTGATGTTTCGAAGCTGTTAAAAAATCATCACACACACACCCAGGCAGGCACTAGCGAGCTGGAGAGAGGAGTCCCTGTGATCAACATATCAGGCTACACTATGTGGATTTTTCTCTCTACTGGTTCTCTTTCTCACTCTCTCTCTCTCTTTACAACACTCTGGGCCTCCTAACACATAACTCAACCATTGGCTCTCTGAAATCATGTGGTAGTCTAGACATTTTGGCGCGGCACTGATTTGCACTGATTGTTGCGCAAACAAGGTTTCTAGTTTTTTAACCCTTTGCACACCAGAGATTTTTATTATAGGTATTTTAATGATTTTTTCCAAATCGATCCATTGATCACAGTTTTTTAAAAAAAAAATGCGTGAATTTGTGGTTGGCGTAGCATAAGTGAGTTTGCAAAATAAAACGAGCAGCTAATTCAAGTCTGCATTTTCAATACACCTTCTCCTCCACCCCCGCCCCTTTCGCCGCCTGCTATCGATTGGGATTCTGCAGGGTTGGATTTTAATTCATGTCAAAGGCAATGGGTTTTTTTGAATTAAGGTGCTGACCAATGCCCGCCCTCCAGTGCCCAGCTGTGCTTCACAGGGCTGGTCCCACCTCTTGCAATTCCAGGGCAACTAGGGACAGGCAATAAAAGTTGGCCAGCCAGCGACGCCCACATCCCACAAATGAATTAAAAAAAAACATTTCACCGGGAGGGAAATGGTGGAAATATCCAGCAGAAGGAGGACAGTGAAACCAGAGCACAATCTGACCTTGCCGTGTGAATCATTTGGACTGTGAATGTTGGCAGTTGGTGCAATCTCATAAATAGCCTGAGGATTTGGGGCAGGAGTAGGGCATTCGGCCCCTCAAGCCTATTCTGCCATTCAATAAAACCATGATTATGGTTTCAACTCCACTTCCCTGTTCCAACCGCCCCCCCCTATTATTCTTGACTCCCTTGTCAATCAAAAAATTGTCTAATTGAATACATTCAATGACCTAGTCTCCACTGCTTTCTGACTACAGAATTTCAGAAGTCACATGACACCAGGTCATAGGCCAACAGTTTTATTTGAAATCACAAGCTTTCGAAGCGTTGCTCCTTCATCAGGTGAAGTTCATCTCAGTCCAACACCAGCTCCTCCATATCACAGAATTCCAACAATTACAGATCCTCAATGAGAGGAAATTTCTCCTCATCTCTGACTTAAATGGGAGACCCCTTATTCTGAAAGGGCACATTCAGCTCTAGTTTCCCTCCTACCTCTTGGCATCCACACTGTTAAGCCTCTCAGAGTTTGAATTCTCCCAAACTCTAATGTGTTTGGGTCCCTAATTATTCAACAGCCCTTTGAATACCCACATCCATCAACCTTCCTGTCGTCAGCAATGGGAACTTTGGCTGATTTCCCACATTACAGCAGTGACTACACCTCAAATGTACTCCATTCGCTGTAAAATGCTTTGAGATGTTTGCTGGCTGTGAGATGTACAGCCCCTCTCCAGCTCTATTGAGCTGTCAGCCTCCAGATTGTCTTGGAGTCTTGAATTAAGCTTCAAGCCCAAGATGCTGTGTCGACCAAAAACTCAAGAGAACAAAGTCGTCAGGGTGCAAAAAATGTTTGCTTTTCAAAAATTCTCCTCAAACATTTTCATTCACAATTGGAGATGGGAAAGTTGGTTGTTTAGCCAACAGTCAAGGGCCATTTGATAGAACAATGCAGAATCTATTCACTTTACATTTGGACTGGGCAAATGGTGTGCCTGAAAGATTTAGATGTTGGATAGCTGTCAGTGTGAATGTGGAAGCTAAGGTTTAGTGGTCCTGAGGTAAATCTCATAGAAATATTACCCAGAGGAACTGACACCCCTTTTTCACTTCCCTGGTTGTGTGGTGTGATGCTCATGGCAGCCAGAGCAATTGAACCTGCAAAGTTGTTTACTTTTTGGTTCCAGCCCAAAAGTCAGCAATGTGTTCACCAAGTGAGCCAGAGTGGGAGCCTTCGGAAAAAGTTAACTAAGTTGCTTCCTGACAAAGCTGCTTTAATAAACGGTTTGTTTTGTTAATTCCCAGTAGATGCGAGACTGACATGAAATGACATTTATGACAAATACACCACATCCCCTTTTGTGCTCCTGTATTCAAATCAGCAATTTAAAACCCTTTCCAGTAAAGCAGTTAATTACACTGTTTCAGAATGTGGTTGACGGGTAATCATGAGCAGCATCAACAACAACAACTTGAATTTGTATAGCAAAATGTCCCACGATGCCCTGCAGCAGCATTATCAAATGAAACCAAATGGCAGTGAGCCAAAGAGAGGGGCATTAGGACAGGTAACTGAAAGCTGGATCAAAGAACCAGGTTGTACGCAGACTCTTAAAGGAGAGGAATCAATAAGCAATGAAATAAAACAAGGAATTAAATGGTAAAGCATTAAAGTGACATAATGACAATAGTTATGGATATCTCATTTTCTGAAGAAGGGTCCAGACCCGAAACGTCAGCTTTCCTGCTCCTCTGATGCTGCCTGGACTGCTGTGTTCATCCAGCTCCACACCATGTTATCTAGTTATTGGATATATTTTTCTCCAATTTGTGTTACTTATTCCTTGTCACTCTCCCTCCCCCCATTCCCCACTGAAGTATGGTGAGGCTGGTGAGGGTCCCTCAACCTCCACATAGTGTCTCAGCCGAGCAGCTAACATTAATTTGAGAATCAGTGAGAATTGCTGGCCCATTTGAATACATAAGACCATAAGAAATAAAAGCAGGAGCAGGCTGTTCAGCCCTACGAGTCTATTCTACCATTTAACAGGGTCCTGGCTGATCATTCTTCTCACCAGCTGGTGACACTGGGACCTGGTGGGGAGTCATTGAGTACTGATCAGAAACAACCCTGGCTGAGTCTTGTCCATCCTCAACGCAGGGCTATTGAGCTCAACAGTATTGAGCCCCACTGAAGCTGGTTAACTCTGCTAACTCAGTACAAATCTGGAACTGAAAATTGAACCTTTGGTGTTGCAATTACTCTGTAACTGTTTTCACTATCATTTGGAGAAGCAGCTACATAATGAGGGATTGTTGAATATTGTTCCCATAATATAAGTGGACTATTGAAAAACTTACTGATCCTGTTATAGGAAGGATGTTGTCAAACCTGAGAGGTCGCAGAAAAGATTGACAAAGATGTTGCCGGGTCTGGAAGGTTTGAGTTACAAGGAGAGGCTGAACAGGCTGGAGCTTTTTCCCCTGGAGTGTCGGAGGTTGAGGGATGACCTTACAGATATTTATAAAATCATGAGGGGCATGGATAGGGTGAACAGCCAAGGTCTTTTCCCTGGGGTGGGGGAGTCCAAAACTAGAGGGCATAGGGGTTTACAGTGAGAAGCGAAAGATTTAAAAATTACTGAGGGGTAACGTTTTCATGCAGAGGGTGATGTGTGTGTGGAAATGAGCTGCCAGCAGAAGTGGTGGAGGCTGGCTCAATTAAATTTAAAAGCCATCTGGATAGATACATGAATAGGAAGGGTTTAGAGGGATAAGGGCCAAACGCTGGCAATGGGACTAGGTCAGATTGGGATGTCTGGTTGGTGTGGATGAGTTGGACCGAAGACTCTGTTTCCATGCTGCCTGACTCTATGACTTCACATATTTAATTGATGATGTCGCATCAACACCATTAGCTCAACCTCTTGCTCTCCTAAACCTGTCCCATTTCAAATTCTCGCCAAATCACCATCCTTTCCAAAGCTCCCAGATATTGTGATTGCATTAATAAGACTTTTACACAGTTCACTGTACGCTCTCCTTTAAAACTGCTTTCATCACCACTGCTCAAAAATCCAGCTCCTTTTTCACACTCAAATTTCCCTTCCCCTGTAACATTGTGGAACACATTGTCGCTGTCCAGATCAGTCCTCATATCCCCCACTGTCTGCTGCTTGATTCCCATTAGTCCAGTTTCTGTCCTGCCTGCAGCACCAGACATGATCAAAGTTAGCCACCAAATCCATTGTGAAGTTTACTATGCTGGGCTATTCGTCATTATTCTCAGGCCTATTGTGGTGTTTGAAGCAATCAACCTCTACTCATCTTACACTAGCCCTACGCCACAGAACACAGGAACATAGGAACAGCAAATGGAAAAAGACCGTGGTCCAGTTAATTCGTCTTTTACCAGTCACATGATGTGATAGCTGAGTTCTTGACTATTCATGACAATCAACCTTTACAACAGGTACAGATAATCATGTGTGGAAAACCTCCAGTGATGTAAAGCTTTCGAAACAACAGGTCCAAAGTCACCCATACCTCCCAAGCTATTACATTCGCCACAAGTCGTGTCTCAAGTTACTTGTGTCCTGGTTTCTGTAACATTATTATCGTTATAAGGTTATAACGTTATACCCTCCCTTAGGGAGGGAATTCCAGGATTTTGACCCGATGACGGTGAAGAAACATAGAATCATAGAATCCCTACAGTGCGGAAACAGACCATTCGGCCCATCGAGTCCACACCGATCCTCCAAAGAGCATCCCACCCAGACCCAACCCCCTAGTTTAATCCGGTAACGCTGAAATTCCCATTGCTAACCCACCTAGTCTGCACATCTCTGGAAACTATGGGTAATCTAACATGGCCAGTCTACCTAACCTGCACATCTTTGGACTATAGGAGGAAACAGGAGCTTTTGGTCTAATATTATCTGAACCTCCGAGTGGCACAATTGATTACCAACCAGAAGTTCTTGAATAATTAATAAGCATGCAACACTGAACACAATAAGGATAGGTTTAACTTAAAACTGACAGAAAATTATCATGGGAACTTTGTAGATTAAGAAGGTAATGTTATCCATTATTTCTAAGGAATCTCAGCCTCTCACAGTTAAACAATAAATTCTTTCTTGTATACAGCCAGACTTTTAAAATATATTTGTTAATAGGTTTGGGTATCACTGAATGGGACAACATGGATTGCCCATTTCTAATTGCCTCTTGAATTTTCTAGGATAACTTAGGAGGGGAGGTCACAACTCATCCTCATTGCTATGGGTCTGGAGGTGTTTCACATGTAGGTCATTCCAGGTAAGGACGGCAGATTTCTTTCCCTAAATGACATTAGTGAACCAGATGGGGTTTTCTTTAATGGGCAATCAG